ATAACGGAGTGAGCTCCCGTGACTTGTCCCAGCTCCTGCCATCCTAGCAATTTGAAAGCACGTAAAAAATGCAAGTAGAAAAATAGGAACCACCTTTGGTGGGAAGGGAACAGCGTTCCGTGCGCCTTTGGTGTTGAATCATGCTGGCCACATGACCACAGAGACGTCTTCGTACAGTGCTGGCTCTTTGGCTTTGAAAAGGAGATGAGCACCGCCCCCTGGAGTCGGGAACGACTAGCACATATGTGCGAGGGGAACCTTTACCTTTACCTGGGGCACCGTTTATGCACTGGACAAGATGATGATGTAATACAACCAAGATAATGTTCTTATTCTACTCTGGTGGTTCTCCAATATCATTATTTTGTTTTAAAATTAATTACAGGATTGAGAAGGAGCTATCTCAACTTCAAGCAGCAGCTGCCTGACCTTGGCTGAACTAAATAGAGACAGGATCGGTTAGTACTTATCTGGGAGACACCCAAGGACTATATCTTAAGATGGAGAACTTGAGAATATATCTTGGAAGAAAACTGTAGCTAAGTATTTTCACAGCGATGCCAAGAAAACAGCAAGGGTGTATCCAGGAATTGGATCCTGGATACACCCTTGTATCCATCAAGACTGAAGTCTGACTTCAAGGAAGCTGTGGAAAGGGAACTAAATCAGAAATAAGAGCAATAACAGAGTTGGAAAAGACTTTGGAGGTCTCACACTTGCATAGCTGCTTGTCAATGTATACTGTGTAGGTTTCCCTGTTTCGAATCGATAGGAATGCCAAGCAATTTGCTTTTGATTGATTTTGTGATTGTTCATTGCCCGGGGTCACATGTTGGAGATGGGCAGCCATAGCAATTGAATAACAAACTAAGTAGCTAGCTAACTAAATAAAATGAAGGAGGGAAGGAAGGAAGGAAGGACGCAGAGCTTCAGGCTGACTGATGTTTCTGTTGAAGTTCTTCATGTTACAGATGTTATACCTATGCAATTGAGAAATTCCTTTATTTGGGGAAGTTTCGGCTTTCGTTCTGTGATCGATTTCCCCCAAATGGTTTGGGGCCTGTACCTCTTCTGCAAAGCATTAAATATCTCCCAATTGTCTCACAAGGAAATATTGGGACGGCTGTGTTTCAGGAGTGCAACACTTATGGAAATATGAAGTATCTTCAAAGGTGTTCAGGCCAATCATAGATATAGATATAGAATGAGTTCGACAGAGAGAGAGATTGATAGATGGAAATGTGTAGATATAGAATGAAATAGATAGACTATCAGTGACGAGAGAGATTATACTGAAGATATAGTTAGATGATAGATAGACAGAGATAGATATAGATACCTACATGCAGATAGATGATAGATGACAGACAGACAGACAAATGATAGATAGATACATACACACAAATATAGATGATAGCTAAATAGAGATAAACATACATACATACATACATACATACATACATACATACATACATACAGACAGACAGACAGACAGACAGACAGACAGACACAGTACATAGACAGGCAGGCAGACAGGCAGAGATTATAGATAAATGGATAGATGGAGAGAGAGAGAGAGAGAGAGAGAATAGATAGATGGAGATAGGTAGGTAGGTAGGTAGGTAGGTAGGTAGGTAGGTAGGTAGGTAGGTAGG